ATGAACTAGGTCATTTTGGAAACTTTTATGTAAACCTTTTGAGATTTTAATGTACATATATCGGTTGATTCTTCAGAAGCATATTAAATCATCTAAGACTTTTCTTACCTAACTTCAGCTATAAAGCCCCGAGGTGGAGGTCAACACGCAAACATCTGAAGATATGATGTAACAGTCATTGTGTTTCAGGCATGTAATCTTCCATAAGATTTGTGTATTTTAGCTAAACGTCTTGCTGTGATTTAAGAGAGCAGGGCCACAGAGGAGAACATAATAAACACTGGAGATGGCACCAGTGGTACCATTAATCCATAAATCACTTTTTTTCACTTGAAAGCAGTGGATACTTAGAAGTAATGAGAACATACAGCTTGAGTCAATAACAATAAAAGGTGAGCTTGTAACACAGCTTTGCCATAATGCAACCCCCTCCCCGACACGGCGCTCCTTCTGTCTCTGGGCTGCTCCTCTTTCAGAGGACACAGTGGTCCACCCAGCTGCTCGAGACTGCAGGTAGGTAGGTGAGTCCTCCTGCAATTCCCCTGAAGGCCTGCCCATTTACCCCCGAAATGTCTCTCTGGTCAGTGCATCTTTGCCTCTTCGGCCACCACTCTCTCAAGACACTGTAAGAGCCTCCTGAGAGGTCCAGCCCTGGGTAGGCTGGACTTTTTGAGACTGGAGGGGTGAAGGGATGGCATGTCATCCCAGGATGACAGAAAAAAATAAAAGATGAGAAGAATGCTCTTCATATTTGCCCACGTGTTTCCCAGTTCTGCTTTTCATTCTTTGTGGATCTCAGTTTCCATCTGATGCCATTTGCCTTCTGCCTGAAGAACTTCCTTGAATGTTTCTGGTGGAGCAGGTCTGCTGGTGGTAGACATCTCAGCTTTAGTTTGGCAGATAAAGTCTTTATTTTGACTTAATTTTTGAGCCACATTTTCAGGAGGTAGAGAACGGTAAGTCGAGAGTTTGGGGTTTGCTTCCCACTTGGCTCCTTAAAGATCTTGCTCCTTGGTCCTCTGGCTCCGATAGCTTCTTGTGGGGTCTGATTACTCCCACTTTCATTCCTCTGTATATAACTTGTCTTTTTTTCCTCTGGCTGCTTTTAAGATTTTCTCTTTACCAAAGTTTTTCAGCAAATTCATTATGATATGCCTTGGTATTCTTCCATGTCTCTACTTAATATATTCAATCTTTCCTCTGGCTTCTTGAAAATACAGACTATTGTTACAACAGATGTTTGAAGGTCTATGCCTGCTGACTCTATAATTGCTGTCATTTCTGGTTTGTTTTTATTAATATGCTTTTCTTTTTTCCCTCCCATGTATCATTTTATTATAGAGACCTGCTAACTTAAATTCATGATCATAAAAATACAGCAATCACATTTCAGCTTACATATCTACAAACTACCAACAAGTTATTGATACAGACATAGCTCATCACATTTCAAAAGCTACTTAAGCATCTTTTATTGAAATTATTATTACATCTGTTGTTGGGATTACCTAGTGTTAAAAATGACTAAAAATTATTTTGAATTTTCATTATCTGCTCAAATAATATAAAATTAATAATGATTTATTCTTGATACTTCCATAATATTTGTGTATACTTTCCCCCAGTTTTATTGAGACATAATTGATGTATAACATATTAGTTTTAGATACACAACATGATTTGACATATGTATATATTGTGAAATAATCATTTCACATTAAGTTTAGTTAACATCCATCACCTCCCACAGTTACAAATTTTTTTTTCTTGTGATGAAACTTACCAGCTACTCTTTCAGCAGCTTGTGATATACAATACAGTAGTATTAACTGCAGTCACCACGCTGTACATTGCATCCTCAGGACTTATTTATCTTTCACGTACTTTTCTCCTGGTTATTAGTCATATTTTCCTGCTTCTCTGCACACCTGCTGATGCCAGCTATTATGAATTTCACATTGTTGGGTGATGCATTTATTTAAAATGTGTTGCACTTTGTTCTGACACACGTTAGGTTACTATAGATATTTGATCCTCTTGAGGCTTGCTTCCAAGCTTTGTTAGGGTGGGTCCAGAGCAGCTTTTGGTTTAGAGTAAATTTAGCCCCACTATGAAGGTGAGAGACTTCTGAGGCCTCTACCTGATGTTCCATGTATTACGAAGTCTTCTCATCCCGGCTGGTGGGAAGGAGACCGGTTCCAGTCTGTGTGAGCTCCTAGGACTGCTGGCCCTCCAGCTCCCAGGGCTCCTCCCCAGCACTCACAGAGCAGCGCTCAGTCAGAGACCCGTCTGCTGTTCCCACTCTGTGCAACTCTTCCTCTAATGCTCGTTCTCACAAATTCCAGCCACCTCAGCCTCCCAGAACTTCGGTCTCCATCTCCCCAACTCAGTGAGACTGACAGGTTCTGTTTGGGTCCCTCGGGCTGGACTGCAGCCCGACACTGTCCAGGCAACAAGTCGGAGCAATCGCAGGTTTGTTTCCCTTTCTCTGGAGGAACCACAGCCCTGCATGTCTGCTAGCCAACGCCCAAAACAGTTATTCTCCCCATATATTGTGCCTGGCTTTCTAGTTGTTTACGGCGGGAGGATAATTTCCATGACAGCAATCCTCTGTGGGCAGACACAGAAGTTCCTTGTAGTGTAGTTTTACATTTGCTTCTCTGGGGCCCCAGACATTGGCCATTTTTATGGGAACTCTTGGCTTGGGATTCCTACACCATGTGGTGCTTGCTGTAAATTTGGACCCCACGATCATGCAGTACTGGCTTGAGAAAACCATTAACTTTGTTTTTCTACCCAGAACCACTCCAGGCAGATGGCAAGCTTCTCCCTATCAGGTGGTGATATTTTTACTGTTCTTTTTTTTTTTTAATAAGCTACCTTTTGGGCATCTCAGCGTTGTGCTGCGGTCTCAGTGTGGAGCTTCACCAGTGTGATCAATCTGAGTTCACACCTCTTGTCCTGGCATGGGTATTAAAACTCCAGCTTTAGGTCCTAGGGGCTCCATCAGGGTAAAATCAGTATTTTTGCATTATGGAGTCTGTGCATATTTGATTTTTATGTGCTTGTAATGTTTTAGATAATTTATCCAGGTAATAGCTTAGCTTTATAATTCTAACTAAAATGTCTAATTGATGGCGATTTTATGTTGAAGTCTTGCTAAGTTTATGTGTAATTTGAGAACATTTAAGACAACTCAAATTTCCCAAGTCTATATACTTAGTTTTATAGGTAATTAAAGTTACGTAAGTTCTTGGAAACATTTTGTTGGTTAAGTCAGAACACAGTAGTACTTAAAATGGAAAGGAAACATACTAATTTATAAATAAAACTTAACAAGTTACAGGGAACTTAGTTACGCTACTAAAGCACCCTTCAGTTTTTTCAATGACTCAACTTTTTAAATTAGAAAGATAAAATTTTTAAGCCAAACTTAAAGATTTAAGATCTACGTTTTAAATGCATTACCTTAATATGTTAAATAGTAATTTTATAAAATTACTTTGAATAGTCTCTTCTGTGCTCCGATATGACCCTCTGTGCACCAGTAGCTCACCTGAGCCAAACACAGATTGATAAATTGCTGTGACTTCGAATATCTTCGGCGTCACTAAATTGAGAGAGCTGTCGTCTCACTTCTGTTCTGCCCTATAGAAACGGCAGGTTTTTACTTAACCATCAAATCGTGATGCCGTTGACTTAGTCTGCCCATTACAACGGCTGAAATAATTGTTATACCCATTTTACTGAGAGGCTGATAGAGCTCCGAACACGACAGCCCCTCCGCCCCGTCATCGCCGCCGCCGCGTCCCAGCAAGTCTCCCTCCGCCGGATGGCCGCGAGCTCAGGGATGGACACTGTGATTGCCTGTTTCCGCACAGTTTCAGAATTTAGAACACACTGTTTTAAAACTATGTTTTCATTGGATTCACAATCCTTCGGGGATGGGCTCCAGGGCGTGGAGCAGGGGGCGGGGCGGCAGGTTCTGCTCACGGGCACCTCCCCCCCCAAAGACAGGACGCTGCTGGCGCCTGGGGTACCGTGGAGAGTCCTGGGCCGCTCACCTCTAGCTCCTTGGGCGGATCCGCGCCTGTTCACCCCTTTCTCCTCTCGGGGGCTCCCCTGCAGGCGTCCACGTTCCGTCCGGGTCCACTTGGCCAGAGGGGGGCAGGCCAGTCTGCTCAGGTCAGCCGCCTTCTGCAGGGTCCACGTGGCTTTGGGAAGCCCGTCCACCTGCCATGCCTGAGCGTGAGAGTGAGAGCCCAGCATCTCGTCCTGGCGCCGGCAGCGTCAGGGCAGCAGCAGGGCCCACGGCTGCCCAAGGGACTGGGCAACAGTCAGGGCGCAGGCGAGTTCCGTCCCGAACTGTGCAGAGAGGATGTGCAGGCGTCCCTCAGACTGTGTAGGGGAGTCAGGGATGTCGTCCCATCCCTGACCCTTGACAGGAGGAAGGAGCGGGGCCTTTCACCCTGTTACCCGCGGGCGGGGTGTGTGTGTGTGTGTGTGAGAGAGGCTGTGTGTGTGGGTGGTTGGGGGTAGGGGCCGGGGAAGACCCAGATGTCCTCCAGCAGAACACCCTGTTGTAGAGCTCTCAGCGAGCCCTGCCAGGATGCGCAGGCCCCGGAGCTGGCAGCTCCAGACCTTCCAGTGAGGATTCCTCAGTGCCCTTTATTCTTAGCTGTGGCCTTCAGTCGCCAATTACGGCACTGAATGCCCGACACCATCTTATTATCTTTAGTTGACACATTACATTCAATGACTCTGGGTATCTTAACAACGGAATAGACCTGACTGTCTGGCGAGCTACCAGGTGTACCCAGTTTCACACCTCTGAACCTCACTTGATCTGGGATGGCTTGTCTGGTTATGTTATGAAGGCACTGCTTTCACCTGATGGAATTTCAATCACAAGACTTGTTACAAGAAGCGGTGAGAAAGATGCAGCGGAGGCCACCCAGCTGGGCAGTCCAAACGGAAGAACGAGAGAAGCACGGAGGGAAGCGGAGGAGGGGAACTGTTTATTAGTGCCGAGGGGTTCCTGATCACAAGGCCGCCCGCAGAACGCACATCACTACTGACTGCAACCACACACGACACATACTGGTTGGCTTAGCAGCTTGTCTCGTCTTGACAGGATACTGATGTATCACCATGAACCACAAGAATTTACTGGTGAAAAGTCTGGCCAAGTCCAAACTCTGCTCCACAGCACATTCCTCAGACCATCGTTCCACATCCCTCTGACTGTATTCTGGCCTTTTCCTTAAAACTGTTTCCTAACATCTGTGCTACCAATGTTATTTTCTTAACGCATAATTTGTAGATAAAGAAACACTATCAAAATGCCGGTAGTTGGTGCTCTCTTATATGGATAAGAGATTTGACAATTCTCACCCTCATCCCCCTCAAGCCAGCACAAAAACGGAGTAGGAAGCAGCAAGGCTTCCTCAGGCTGAACCCGAGCCGCCTGCACACAAGTAGCGGCAGGAGGCGGCTCGGCTCGGCTCGGCGCCGCGCCTGTGCTCCCGCTGGCCCCCTCACTTGGACTTCTTGTCGCCCTTCTGGGGCTCCTCAGCCTTCCTCGCCTCCTCCTCGGGGATGAACACGCTGACGGTGAAGTCGCTGGTCTCCGAGCCGTACTTGTTCTTCACGACCAGCCCGTACTTGCCGGAGTCAGATGACATCACCGCGCTGATGGTGAAGTAGGCGGTCTTGCCAGCCTCGAACTTAAGGCTGCAGTGCTCACTGGAGGCCAGGGGCTTCTCGTTCTTCAGCCAGGAGACCTCGGGGGTCGGGTCACCCCACACGATGCAGGTGAGATTAAGCGCCTGCAAAACAGGTTTTGTGAGAGGGCGGGAGATGGAGCAGATGTAAAGGATGGAGGGTAATGCACGCCTGTGAGTGACAGTTTGAACTCACACCTGAGTAGGTTTCTCTGGGGCCTCGACTTCCTGGCTTCAGGAACACTTACCATCGAAGCTGCACCAAGGCCTTTGCTTCAGCTCCCATAACACTTAGGTGGTGCGTTTTGCTCTCACGTGGCATTTTGGACTCTGTCTCAGGAGAGGAATCTCCCAGTTGTCACGCTCTCCGCTCACTGCTCTCTGCTCACTTTTGCACTTTGTTTGTGTCACACAGACCAGCAGCCGAATCTCAACAGCTACTTCAGGTAATGTGACTAATTTTCAAATTCCATCTTCCTCGTTTGATTTCTCCCCCAAACCCACTCAAGCTGTTGCAGCTGTAAAGGTGCCCTGCCAAGATGCGCTCCTGTTTCCTGACATTCTATTACATTACCATCTGTGCTGAAAGCCTCTTATTTTAAAAGCTCAATGGTTAGATCTACAGTTTTACTCTACCTTACTTTTTGGTTTAAATACTTTTAGATAATCATAGATTCATATACAGTTGTGAGAAATAATAGAGAGATTCAGTATATCCTTTACCCAGTTTACCCCAAGACTAACATTTTACAAAATTACAGTATAATATCACAGCCGGTACGCTGACGATGTAGTCCGTTGATCTTAGATCTCCCCAGTTCTTCTTGTTCTTGTTTGCCTTTGTGTGTGTTGAGTTCTAGTCAATTCCATCACCTGTCTGGATTCGTGTATCCACCACCTCAGTCAAGAGACAGAGCATTTCCATCACCGTAAGGGTCCTTCCTGCTGTCCTTTTATGACCACACCCACTTCCCTCCTCCCAAGCTCGTTCCTAATTCCTGGCAACCACGATCTGTTCTCCATTTCTAAAATTGTATAACTTCCAAAACATTACATAAATACCATTATACAATATGTAACCTTTCGACAGGGCCTTTTTCACTGAGCATAGCTCCTTGCAGATTCATCCAGGTTACTGCAGGTATCAATCATCTGTCCCTTTTTATTGCTGAGAGGCGTGCCATGGAATGTATATACTTGTAAGGATCATCTGCGCTGTTTCCAGTTTGGAGCCATTATGAAAAAGTTGCTATGAACATTTGTGTACAGGTTGCTATGTGAATATACGTTTTAATTCCTCTGAGATAAATGCCCAGGAGCACAACTGCTGGGTCATATGGTAAATGTGTATTTCATTTTTTAAGAAATTGCCTAACTATTTTCCCAAGTAGCTATATAATTTCGGTTTCCATTTCCAACAGCAATGTACCCACTTCTCTGCATCCTCACCAGCATTTGTTGTTGTCACTGTTTTTTATTTTAGCAATCTTGACAGGTGTCATATTTCATGTGGTTCTAATTTGCATTTCCCTGATAACCAAAGACGTTGAATTTACTTCACATCTTAAATTCCATGCTTGCATTTTTTCTTACTGAAGTCCAGAAATTGTAAGGAAAAGAGCTAGGGCTCACAATATACAGGGGAATGGATATCCTTCTAGTTAGAAGGGTCTTAAAAGATCACTTGTTACCTTTTCTGTGAGAGTATCATCTAGAATTGGGAAGATATTAAGAAATTTGTTTTCTTTCCATGATTAGTTAGCATTTCTTACTGAATTACTCTGCAAACACATTTCAGCAAGAAAAACATGAGTCAAACTATTGCCATTAAACTTATCCAAGCAGACCAGGCATACATTTTGGGGAACTGATTTCCTGGGGATTAAAAACTCTTATCAAAATTAAGCAGAACTGCCATACACCTTAGGTGTCTGGGAAAACTATTATTTATTCTATAGATTTGAATTATAGATCACAAAGTGCGTTCACATACTTTCTCTCTCTCAGTTCTCACTACCCTCCAGTGAATTGAACATTTTGAACCTCATTCACCGAAGAAAATAGAAAATAGACTTTAAAAACCAAAGCAACCTTTCAATGGTGGAACTTAAAATCAACTGGTCCTATTTTCTAGGCACGAAGAAACACAGCTGGATGAAACCCATCTCTCACTAACGCCTTAGACACGCCTTGTTCACCACCTTAGTCCCAGTCTCCCACTGCACATCTTCACTGCCCTTTGGAGGTGGGAAGAGGTTCTGTTCCACTGCAGATACCCCTCCTCCTGTGACTGACATACTACACTTGTTTTAGTGAAACATAGGGACGAAGAAAGTGAATCTAGGTTAGAAATTCTGTCCATTGCGTTTCAGAGGTTATTATGGAGCCACGTTTAAAACCAAATGGAAAGAAGTCAGTTTTCAACTGAGATGGAGCCAATAGAAATTCACGGGGCAGCACATTTCCCTGTAAAGGTGAGGTGTCTCACAGATCAGCCCATTTTCCACTAGTGTCGGAGGCTCAGAGGTCTCTACGTGCCCACATCAGACAGACACACATCCTGATGCGGGGCCTACAGAAAAGTAAGGTGACTGGAAAACCGACTGCGTTCTGCACGCCATACATGGCTGTTCTGAAGTCAGGCCTGCGCAGCCGTGGCATTAGATGAAGACAGTGGGATGTAGCTTATGAGAAGGAACAAAGTCTGGGGCGCTGGAACACCCTCCTGGCAGGGAAGAAGCGGGGACGGGAGTGCCCCGTGCTTACCTTGCCCTCCTGGATGGTGACCACATCGGGGAGACCGCCCACCACCCGGGCACGATCTGCAAGCACAGGCATTTCTGGTTAATCACTGACTGACAAGCACCAGCCATCACACTCCCAAAGCCCCCAGTGCAACTAGTTCTCCTATTTAGTCTCCCTCTCCTTACAGTTGTTTTATACCTGCTTTCAATACGCAAAATAAGAAAATGATCCGGTAATTCTGAATGTTAATCTTCACACGCAGGTGCCTCTATTTGTACCTAAAATATCAACCTGAGATCACTCTGTTGTATGAAGGTCTGCTCTGTGACTTTCACGGCCGTTTTCAGCCCCAGCTCTCCTGCAGCTCAGTGTGGGCTCAGACAGAGGAGAGAGAGCAGATTTCAGCCTCTTTCATGCCCTTGTCTCTGATTCAGAAAAGCTGCATAATTGGAAACTTATGTGCCAGGGAGACCTGAAGGCTGGCAAAGATGTGGGCTCCTTGGGGTCTTCCCTAGAGAGCCTCCCTTTCCTGTCTCTGGGGAGTTCTTGGGAGCACCATGTGGGGCCCCTGTCAACAGGTGTGTGAAGGGCGCTGAAATCCAGGGCTGACTGCTCCTGCCCAGCATGTCGGCCCCCGGGGAAGGACACCTTTCTGCCATTCACTCAACACTAACTCAGCAGCCACCGCCCTCTCACTTTTAGGCCTACGTCAGCTAATGCAGGACTCTAGAGCCTTATTTCTGCCATTCCCTTCTCCGCAAAGTCAGGCTGACACTTTGAGTCTTGACTGCCTTCTCAGGCTGATTCCATGGCACTTACACCACTCATGGGCCCACCCTTTGGCTCCCTGCACTACTTGCTGTGTGCTACTTGGTGAGTCATGTCACTGTGGGAACCTCAGTCTCTTCATCTGTACAATGGGAGAGTGGTCTTGCATTAAACCTGTGGACATGAAGCTTCCAAACTCTGCTCCCCAGCGTCCATGGCATTCATCCCAACGTCCATGACGATAACTCAGCTCTTACCTACTTTATAATTGGGTCTGTATGGAGGAGTTTCTTTGAATTAAGGGTTCTGTGCAAAAGTTTAAAATCATGGAGTGAAAAGGGCTCTCGGGTCTCTTCCAGCTCTTTGCTGCTGTGATCCAGAGACTGCAGAAAGGAGCTGGCAGACCAGGGGGAGGGTCAGGCTCCTCGCCCACAAGAGAGTTCAAGAACCGGGAGGGGCGGTCGGTGGCTGTGGGCCCTGGCTTTGCTCTGGCTCGGACACTGTCCCAGCTCGCCCTCGTGCTGGCCTCTGCCCCATTCCTACCAGCGGGAGCCTCAGAAGCCCTGGGCCAGAGGGACCGGGAGCCACTGACAGGCACTTCTCACTCCTCTGGGTTCCCTTCCACCCAGCTCAGGACCTACCCTACAACTTTAACCCTCAACAGGTTTCAAATTCTGTTGCCACACTGAGAAAGAACCTGAAATATCACGATAATCAGTCCGTGACTCCTGGGATCCTGTGGACTCCAGAAATCTCTGTGTGAAGCACAGCTGAGAGAAGTCTGGAGTGAGCACATTTCTGGGTACACAGACTTGACCCTTGGGCGCTGGTTCACTCGGCCTTATTGGGCCCCTCAGGAAAATGGAACTACTTGTTGGGGGACCTGTTATAGTGACTTATCTGATGTCAAATTTGCAAAGTTTCCTGTTTTTTCTTTTCTTTCACACGTCTAAATTTTACCTGACACTTGGCGCCTGCTGTAAGCAATTAACAACCTGTTGTGTGATCTGTAGCCCAGAGGTTGCTCAGGACAGCTCAAGTCAAGGCTGGGCGCCCTTCTTACAGTGAAACCCAAGACCTTTTCATAGACATTCTTACTCAGGAGACTAAGTGAAAACACATGCAGGGCACCTAAGATTTTTAAAAAATAAATAGAAAAACAAAACAAAACAAACGCTTTCACTCTCCTCCATCTGCAGCCTTAATAGAAACATAAAAGTTGTGTTTTGAAACCACGCCAGGAATAAACGTGCAGGGGGTTACTCACTTTTCTCCGCAATGGCTGCTTGTCTGTGGTTGAGAGAAACAAACAAACACGCAAACAAAGAAGAACTCTGTTTTAGTTGTCGGCCGAAATAAAATCGCACAACGTAAGAGTTATGTGTTGTTTCCTTTGGGGCAAAATGACGACTATAGTCCAGAGACAGCCTTTCAGAGAGCTCTGAGGAACTGCTCCGAAGAGGCAGGGGAGGTATGTCAGTATTACACATGATTGCAGTGAAGGGGGGACGTGCAGTCAAGCACACATTTAGGCAGAGGCTGCTGCTAGTCACGAGGAGGAGATGTCACCATGAATGATCTTAGTTCTTTTCTAGATACGAAGAGATGCAAGAATTAGAGCTCATAAAATCTTCTCCAGAAAACATCTAACTATCTGAAGGCCTGTTCTGCCGGTTTTCCCGGAGCAGAGAGCCTCATTCCTGACCTCCACCCTGAACTCCTTTCAGGGAGGGCTGGAGGTCATCGGCTGCAGGGTCTTATGATTTAATCCAGGCAGTGGTAGGTGTCAAGTGCCAACATGATTCAGTCCCTGTAGAGGCAGATGGCAAGTACCAATTTTCAGTTGGCATAGTGCTACTTAGAAGTAGCTAACCTTGACTGCATTTCATTTTTTCACTGCTCAGCCACTCAGCCAAGCAGCGGCAAGTGCCACGTGGACCGCGCTTGCTGCCACGTGCAGACAGGAGAGGCACACGTGTTCAGAGATAGGAGCGCACGTGGTGGCATTTGCCGGGAAAGAGGGACTTACTTTAATCTCTGGAATTCAGCAAAGGCTTCCTCGTACGCTTGAAGAGAAAAAAAGGAGAAGTTAGAATTTTCTCACCCAGAATTGGCCGCACACAGGGGTCAATTAAAACTCCCAACCTGAGGGCAGTGTGAAGGGACCGACCTGGACTCCGCTGGCTTTGAATGAACCATGCCTGGGCGGTCCCTCTACAACCTACAGACATAACAGGAGAGGCACCTACTTTCTAGGTAGGAGGTATGAAGTAGTGGATTTTAGAAGCTCTCAATCCACTGAGAGGCCTTCAGCCCTCCACACAGAAAGGCAAAGGTTAGCTCTGCCAAAGATAAAATGGGAAGGGAGGTCTGTTTCAAATAAACACTGGTTCTCTACCGAGCATCCTGAGCACCAAAAAAGCTTTTCTCTTATTAAAAATCACTCCACACATGGCAGCGTCCTAGCTAGACAGTTGTTATGTGGTCCAGCCAGTCTGTCTGTGGTGAAGAGCACGCGCAGTTACTGCATGGCGGCGGGAGCCAATGCTGGCCTGAAGCAATGCTTCTACGCTGAGCAGGAGACGGAATAAAAGACAGGGAGACAGACGAGCAAATGAGAGCTGTGGAGTTCTAACATAAATTCTTTTTCTGAGCCTGCAGAGGCAGGCACTTTAAAGATTTCAGGCAAAAAGAGAGCTTCATTTTGACATCTCTCCCACCTGGCCTTTAAGTGCCTCTGTGGTCTGGGAATCGTAATAATTTAACATCTAGAAAACATTTACATAATACTAGTCCCTCCCCCTTCTTTTATGGATGGGAAAAGCGAGCATGGAGTCAGGCTTGAAGGAGGTGGACTAGGTTTGCTAAACCAGGTCAG